TAAGGCCTCTGCTTTGCATGGGCGCGGAGAACGGAAGCAATTGCCGAGAGGGAGCCAAGGGCACACCTCCCCAGCGCTCTCCGTGGCACGCTACCATGCTCTTTATTTAGGAAATACAGGAAGAATGGTTCTCAGTTTGTTGTTACGCTAGAAATAATCAGGGTTGGAGGTGTATGACTATACACAATATATGGAATAATGAAGCATACATGTCTAATCTTAATAGTACCAGGCGCACGCACGCACGCACATACACACACGCACAAACTCTCTCGAACAAAACACACATACACACACAAATACACAAAAGACAGGTAGTTGCAGGTCTTGCAGCAGTATCAACATAAGTACTAATGGCAGCAGTATTGATTGTGGTTGTTGCAATAGTAACACCAATACTTCCATTAGGATGCGGCGTTATTAAATATTTCAAATTGAATTAATATACCTGATCTGCGCGCGCGCGCGTGTGCGTGAGAGAGAGAGAGAGAAAGAGAGAGAGAGAGAGAGAGAGAGAGAGAGAGAGAGAGAGAGAGAGAGAGAGTGTGTGTGTGTGTGTGTGTGTGTGTGTGTGTGTGTGTGTGTGTGTGTGTGTGTGTGTGTGTGTGTGTGTGTGTGTGTGTGTGTGGGCGTAGGTTCGTGCGTGTGTGCGTACGTGTCACTGTGTTCGTACAACTGAACAAGGACACTAACATAAGGTAAAATACGTTTATGACAAATGAACATCAACTTGGTTTGATAAATGCAATATTTTCTTGTATTTTTCGTCTAGACCTGTCCAGGATATACTGATACTAAGATCAATAATAACAACACCAATAATAATTATAATAAATACATAACCGTCGAAACAAATTAAACCAAGTAATTTTTCTTTTCATCAACATATTAATAAGTCAATTTTACGTCCGTTACCCACTGAGTACGCAACATTCTTCAGCAAAAATCTATAGTATTATTACAATAAAACATTCCGAGCACCCAACATTTTTCAAAACAAATGTTAAATACTTTAGCGATAAAAAAGATATATTTCCTAAAGGGCGTAAATATTATAACAATGGCACAAAAGGAATAAAAAGTCGGAAAATAACTAAAGGAGGGAAGAAAAAACTCAAGAAAAAGAACGGAGGATTACATTAACAAACAAACCAATAAAAATTGAATAAATAAATGTGAAAAAGGAAAGCAAAAGCTGAGGAAAAAATAAAATTAAAACGCTAATAGTTCAGCATTAGAGAAAAGAAACTTTAATAAGCAAACAAAAAAACTAATACAAAAGAAATAAAAATACAATAGAGAAGAAACCAAATAAAATGTCAGGCAGAAAAGAATAAAAAGAAAAGAGATTAAATCAAACCTCAAAAAGAAAAGACCATAAAACAGAAGAGAAACCAAATAAAGTAGAGAGAACAGACAGCAAAACGGCGAAGAGATCAAATAAAAACTCAGGCCGAGAATAGGTCAGAGACCGCTGTCCCAAAATCACCTCTTCCCGAAGATCGCTTCATTATCCAATCTTTTGCGGTGATTAATCGACGTCCGGACCGGAAGCCCCCCTCCCCCCCTGCGAAAGGGCCTTTAATCCATCACCATTTTCGCAAAACGGACCGAAGCTCCAGTGACAGCACACAGGTCGGCGGATCATGCAGTTCATGTGACTGACGGTGTGACTGTGTGTGTGTGTGTGTGTGTGTGTGTGTGTGTGTGTGTGTGTGTGTGTGTGTGTGTGTGTGTGTGTGTGTGTGTGTGTGTGTGTGTTGAAGTGTGTCCACGATCGGGAGCAGTGTTCATGAAGACAAAGGCACAAAAAAGTGTGAATGACAGTATCTTCTGACCGGTTTCGACCGAATTTGACGCCCCGAAACACATATACATACGTGCATATACATAATAAATTGTTGATCTGCTTATTTATTTATGACTGTACGTAGACGTGAATTTTTATAATCACTGGCACCAATGTTACTACTAACCGCTACAACACTATCCCTGACAGTACTAACATCCATAATAACACTGGTGATGCCAATGCTCCCGCTAATAACCTTCGTCGACCGAGCCAAACTCTTCGGCAGGCACGCCCACTTTCACTTGACCGTTTGCCAAAGCAGCCGCGAGACCCCCCCCCCCCCCTTGCAACCCTCCTCCTCTTCGGGCTGAACCTCCCGAGCCTTCAGGAGGCCGACCCACATCCGTCTGGACGCCGGGCATAATTGGGGGAGGATCCTCGTCCCGGTGTTACCACGTCGATTCGAGGAAGGCTGGAGGACTTGTTTGGGAGGAGCGGCGGTCGTCATGGCAACAGACCGCACGCCGTCCCCGCGAACTGGGTTACGACCGCCGCTTCCTGGCCGGAGATGGCGTAGGTACGGGAGACTGGGATATATATACAGACACGCCTACATATATATATATATATATATATATATATATATATATATATATATATATATATATATATACATATATATATATATGCACACATCATATATATAGTATATATATAATATGTATATATAATATATATTTTGTATATACAATATGTATATATATATATAATCTATCTATCTATCTATCTATATGAATATATAAATATATATATATATATATATATATATATATATATATATATATATATATATATATATATATATATATATATATATTTTATACATGTAAACATACAAACGCACACCTGCTCTCCGATTCCTCTTTGAAGGAGCAGAGACCCCGTGACTCCGCCTCCCCCCCCCCCTCGAAATCCCGATAACGTCTCGGGTCAGAAAAACGATCTCCGATTAGACCAGATTTCCCGGGGATATTATTTCCCCTCACTTTTTTTTTCAAAAGTTCGTTATCATTCGTGCCGACACGCGACGCCTTCCGTGTTGGTTTTGGGGCCATTATCCTAAGTACTCGTTGTCATGTCATGCATGCAAGTGCAGCGCCGCCGAGCGCACGCGAGCGAGCCGGCGCGGGCTGCCTCGCGGCGCGGGCGTCCGCTGGCGCCGAGGGACACAGTAACGCTTTTGGCCCAACAGTCGAACTAATTTAACATGCTAATCTAATTTTGTTGATATCGTAATCGATCTTGTGTAACAATTTATCTTCTTTATTTGTCATAATATTACATCAGAAACGAAAATAATCGCATCCAATGAGCTCGCACACACACGAAGAATCAAACAGATAAAGAAGCACCTAAGTACTAACTAACAAACAAACAAAGCAAAAGCAAAAACCGGCGATGAACCCCCGCGATCTGACAGCGATAAGGGGGGGATCGTAGGATTCTGACAGGAGAGGAGGGGCACCGGGGGAGGGCCGGGGAGGGAGAGGGGAGTGGAGGGGTAAACTCGGCCCCAGAAGGACGCAGAAGGAAGGCAGGAGGGCCAGGGGGGGGGGGAGGTATCTACTCGTAGGACCTCAGCAGGATGGGGGGGGGGGTAGGAGGAAGAAGCAAGACCTGCTTGTAGGACCCGAGTCTGAGCTGCAGCCGCGGAGGGCGCAGGACCAGATCCTTAGAAGAGCTACGGGACACCCTGTCTGACAGCATACTTCACACACCTGCACGTACACGTACACACGCACGCACACCCTTAGAATTCCTAGAGTTGAAGGCGTTGCGGGATTTTCCCCTCGAGTTGCGTTCAGACACGCTCTTGCGGTTCCAAGCACATGTATGTTTCGAATAAAAATTAAACGAAATAAAAAATGAAATGCAAGTACACTAGCAAATACATGTTGCTATAAAAACAAATAAACAAACGTAGTACAGAATCAATAAAGGAAATAAACAAGAATAAGTATCCATATATGATAAAAGCAAAAACAGACATAAAGAGATGAAACAGAACCATTAATGGCAATGTCCATCAAACTTCATCACACCCACCCTCTCTACCGGCCACAAACAAACAAACAAAAAACAAGCACACAAAACCAAGCGAACAGGACCACGGCCTTTCGCCTCGCACTCCTGCCGAGGACTCACCGGCGCCTGGGGGAGGGGGTTGAGGGGGTTGGGCTGCGCGATGGGCTCGAGTCCCAGCCGCATTCTCTTGGCATTCTGCGCCTCGTTCTCGCACGCGTTCGCCAGGATCTGCTCCGCCTGGATGCTCGTCAGGTGCGGCGGCGTCGGGCGGGACGGCTGCGGAGGGAGAGAGGCAGGGCGTCAGACAGGGAGGCGATGAGGGGGGGGAGAGGGGAGACAGAGGGAGAGGGGTGGTGGTGAAGGGGGAGGGAGAGAGGCAGGGCGTGAGACAGGGAGGCGATGAGGGGGGGGGGAGAGGGGAGACAGAGGGAGAGGGGGACAATGAGGGGGGGAGAGGAGAGAGAGGGAGAGGGGAGATGATGAGGGGGGTGAGAGAGGAGAGAGAGGGAGAAGGGAGATGATGAGGGGGGGGGGTGAGAGAGGAGACAGAGGGAGAGGGGGGGCGATGAGGGGGGAGAGGAGAAAGAGGGAGAGGGGAACATGAGAGAGGGGAAGCAGGTTGAGGGTAGCTGAGGGGATGATCAGTTGGGTTGAATGAAATGTTGGTCACATTAATGCTGCTTGGCCTTTTGGTAGGCAGTACAGGTGGGGGAGTAATTAGCGTCATAAAGAGACAGGTGAATTTCATGTGTACCTTTACTACGTTACATCCATCATTTTAGTTGGCCTTTAAGCGCCTTAGATTGCTCAGCTTACAGGCTAAAAGATCCTACAGACGGAATCCTACAGCTGGAATCCTACAGAGTCGAGAGGGCTTACCGTCTCCCAGCCGTTGGAGTCCCGGGTTCTCTTATTTCTCCTGCAGCTCTTGAGGTAAGTCCGGATCCTCTTGCGCGTCCTCTCCGCGAACTCGGGGAACTGGCGCGCGCACGCGTCGATGATGGCCTGGATCTTCTCCTTCGGCTGCTTGCTGATGGGCACGATGCGGTCCAGGTTCTCGTCCACGAACAGGCGCACGAACATCTGCAGGAGGACGGGGACACGGTCACTCTTGGCGTCAGGGAGAAGGAGAGAAAGAGGGAAGGAGGGAAAGAGAGAAGGAAGGAGACGGAGGGAGAGTTCCTCTCATCAGCAAATATGCCCATGGCTCATTCCGGCCCACGGCCTCCGCGCACTCACGTTGAACGCCTTGAGACGCTCCGGGTCGTACTGGGCGTCGATCTTGTCATCGTCGTTGTCGTCGTCCGCGTCGTCGTCCTCGTCGTCTTTGTTGCCGTTGCTGGACGTGTCCTCGGCGTTGCTGGCTGTGTCGAGGGGCGTGGCCGTAGCCGCGCGCTCGCTGCCCGACGGCGACGGGCACGGACTCTGGGGAAGGAAAGGCAGCGTCAGCAATGGCTCCGGCGCCGCGGGCATGTTCAAGGCGATATTCAAGGCGCGGGAACGCAGAGAGAAAACTCGGTTCAGGATCGAATACACAGTTTATGAGGGAGAAGCGGACTGCGGGAGAGGCAGCAGCACTTACCCTTCGCGGGACGTCGCTCCTGCTGAGTCCGAGCGGCTGGTGCTGGTACGGAGTCCACTCGGACGACGTCCGGGTCTCCACCTTCCGCTCCACTTCGGCTGGAAAGAGGGAAAAGGCGGTTAGATCTGCAGCCTCTTCAGGGGAATCCGCCGCTCACGTCACCCCTTGCGCTCTCTGGGGCTGTACGTTGCCACGTACAGGTCGCGTCACAGTAAACAAAAATCTACATAAACCTTTCAAGTTTGTTTACATATTCGTAAGGATTTTTAGTATTCACACAATTCTTTTTCCGTAAAAACATATTTAGTCGCTATCAAAGATGTCCACACATGTCGATGTCCTTAGTTCTTGACGTATTCAATCTGATTATTTAACCTGAAACTAAATATCATTCTATTTACATCTACGCATGTTTCGTCGCAGCAAATATTTCGTCATCTGGCTTCGAAGCTCATTACCTCAAGCGGTAAGTGAACCCCAGCGGACACCTTGAGAAAATGAACCCTAGCGGAAACCTGAGAAAGTAAACCACAGAGACCTGAGAAAGTAAACCCTTGCGGAGCCATCGAGGATATGAACCTTGGCAGAACCCTACCGGCGAACGTCTCCCCCCCCCGTGGTGTCGTCCGCTGCGATTCCTCCGAGCAGGACCTCGACGCACACCCAGCCTCGGGTCACCGCCGCCTCCCGCGCCGTGACTCAGGGTGACGTCAGGGTGCGAGAGGTCCGCGTCGGGGCCGCCCCTCACACTCGCTCGCCCGCGTCATCCTCCGCCCTCCCACCGGGTCATGCTTGCGCCCTCCGCCTCCCGCGCGCCGCTGACGGGCAATTCCGTTCGGGGATCACGCAGAGCTGAGTCACGCCACGCACGCACGCACGAACAGGAGCTAATGGCACGTTTTTTCCGTTTTTTCTGATTCCCGTAAAAACGGAGCTGGAGATGGCACTCCAGACGCGCGACTCAAGGGATTCGTCTCTTCCCCGAAGGAACGGCAGGTGCAAAACGAGGCCGCCAGGGGGACTGAGGACGGTTCCCTGAGAGTTTCCTTGAGGTTCCTTTAGACGGTTTCTTGAGAGGTTCCATGAGAGGGCCTTCGAAGCGGCGCCACAGGAAAAAGTCCTCTAAGTCGCACGGAGCTTCTTGTGTGATCAAAGGGAAGCGATACACAAGTCTGGCTGGCTCGTGGGGGCGGAGGCGCGGCGAGGCGGGGGGGGGGGGGGGGGGAGGTGCAGGACAGGAGGAAACGGGCGTCTGGGTCCGCCCCCTTCTCGTTCTCGTTCTCGCTCTCGCTCTCGTTCTCGTCCTCGCTCTCCAAACCAATATGCCTATCTTTTTTTCTGTGACTGAGTGGTTCCATGAGCCGCACATACAAAGCGAGAGAAATCGAGAGGAAATGCCAGGAAAAGCGAGAGAGAGAGAGAGAGAGAGAGAGAGAGAGAGAGAGAGAGAGAGAGAGAGAGAGAGAGAGAGAGAGAGAGAGAGAGAGAAAGAGAGAGAAAGGACGTGAGAAAGAGCAGTCGTAGACCAAGAGCGAGAGAGAGCCTAACCGTGGAGCGAGAGCGAGAGCGCGCCCTCCGACGTGCGTAAGGAAGGCGGAGAGGCAGAGGGCGCGAGCGAGGGCCCGGCTCGGCCAAATGGTGTATCGCAGAGGGTCGCGGCGCGTGAGAGAGAGCGCTCGCACCCAGTCAATACACACCTCCCGGATATCCCTAAATGGAGGCCGCTGCATTGAGCGATACGCAGGGGGTGCGGGGGGGGGGCATAGAGGGAAGGATGGTGACAAGAGCACTGGTGATAAGGGGGATAATGGTGACGGGTATGACACTGATGATGATGATGATGATGATGATGATGATGATGATGATGATGATAATGATGATAGTGGTGGTGATAACAACGATAATAAATTGGTAATATTCAAGAAGATAAAGTTGTAACTCTAATTCCCACGGCAATAACCATTATAACTCTCCTCAGTATCATTAGTGTTATTATTGCAGCAACAATAACTACATTACGATTATTGTTGACATGCTGTTC